TGTAATATACTGTTCAAGTATCTTCTATTATTTAGGTTTAGCTTGATATTGCATGTCCCTACTAAGTCTATAAATACATCCATAACAGCGCCTTTGAGTAGCGAATAGGATATCTCTAAGGCAACATTTGTTTACTTCGATCTTGTTTAGAGGCGAATTTATCAGAATATTTTATCGATAAATCAACGTAGCTGAGCATCATAAAACAATTGATGACAAGTATTCACTATTACAAATTATGTCCATAAGTATATAACGATAACAGATGTGGCGTCAAAAACATTATCAGTATAAACTGAGTTAAATTTAGATGCGTGTGTATTGTATCAGGAATGATAAATGACAGAAACGATATTATACTGCCTTACTTTCAGTAGCCAGTAGTAGTTAAGAGGTGAGTGAAGAGAATATAATACCAGATAAGAACTCTTCTCTCGCTATATTGCTTTCTGAAATCTATTCTACTGTATCACCTTTATACTCATTAAGTTTGTATAACAACTATTTACCAGTAACATGCCGGAAATTTAGTTTTAAACAAAGCGCACATTAGACAGATGGTAGAATTAGTGTTTAAAACAATCATGTGTTATTCAATGTGTCAATTAAGATTTTATTTAACTGACTTTAACATGAAGTATTCTCATAAAGCTAGTAGACAATTTATTTGGTGGATTTATTTGGTGATACCTACTTTTGGGATGGAGATCTTTGTGACTTTGATATAGACTGTGCCCCCCCCCCCCGGGTATTCCCAGTGACCGGTTTATCTGCAGTATGTGTTACTTGATTAGCCTTTCAAACGCTGTCCTTACACACTACGCTCAAAATGTCACTTGACTCTGTATTAAATAACACAATATTCAAGTGTTGGTTTGTTGGGATTTGATTGGTTACAGTACGCACCGGTGGGTGCGTACTGATGAAGAGTCCCAAACTAGGACGAAACAGCTGTCCAGTACTCCCAGGTTTTCCAATGGTTCTCTAACTAATGTCAGCTCATGATCAAAATCCTGTAACACAATATTATTGTCTAAGATTCAAAAGGTCCTTGTCATTGTTGTATTATTGTTCCCTTGGGTTCCCACTGGAACACAGGGCATCACTAGCACATCTCCATTTCGTTCTGTGGTCTGCTATCTTGCTTAGCTGTCTCCACAATTGATTACAAGCTCTTTTTTGCCTTATGGAGAGAAATCCACGTCATATCCGACACGTCACTTGTCGTTTGCTGTGCAGATTCCACTCGAGGGATTGTTTATCACGTGATGCTACTCACTGTTGTACTCAGAGATTTTTCAGTGGGTAATTTATACTGGTATTTATTACGAGAATTCAGTAGTATGTTTGCAGATTATAGTTACAATTTACGTATCTGTAAATATGTAACAGCGGACATGATGACGCCACTACTGGAAAAGGTGTGGAAAGAAGGCAAAGTACCCGAGGATTGGAAGAAAGGATACTTATTCAAACTACCAAAGAAAGGAGACCTAAGTCAATGCAAGAACTGGCGCGGAATTACACTCCTGTCTATCCCAAGCAAAGTACTAAGCCGCATCATCCTGGAGAGAATCGAACATGCCCTGGATGAAAAACTTCGACCGGAACAGGCTGAATTCAGGAGAAACAAGTCATGCATTGATCAGATCGCCACATTACGGATCATCATTGAACAAAGTTTGGAATGGAAGTCACCTCTCTATCTCAACTTCATCGACTTTGAAAAAGCTTTCGACAGCGTCGATCGAGAGGTGCTTTGACAAATACTTCGCTACTACGGGGTGCCACCGACAATTATACATCTCATCCAACAGCTGCACGACAATGCTGCATGCCAAGTAATCCACAATGGGAAACTTACGGAATCCTTCGAAGTGAGGACAACACTATCACCAATGATTTTTCTGATTGCAGTAGATTGGATAATGCGACAGACAGCAGACAGTGAGGAAACAGGCATAAAATGGACTCACACAAAGAACTTGGAGGATCTGGACTTCGCCGATGATATATGTCTGATTTCCCACAAACTGGAAGATATGCAAGCGAAAAGCAACAAGTTGGCAGAAGAAGCATCCAGAGAAGATAGAACTTCAGGTGAACATAGAGAAAACAGAGGTGATGAAGATTCCTGGCCAACACCACCAACAGCAACAACAACAGACAACAATCAGCCAGCATAAATGGACGGAACCTAAAAGAAACAACCTCCTTAACTTACCTACCTACCTGGGAAGCATCGTTTCAACTACAGGCCGACAGAACTGACGACGATATCAAAGCAGCGAGGGTCGGAAACGCAAGGCAAGCTTTCACTACTCTCAAGTCTGTGTGGAGGTCACCAGTCAGCACTCAGCATCAAAACGAAGATAAGATCCGGATTTTCAACTCCAATGTGAAGTCAGTCAGTGCTAGTCACTATACGGATCAGAGACTTGCACTGCGCGTCATAAAGAGTATCTGAAGTAAACTACAGAACTTCATTAACAGTTGTATTCGCTCAATACCACTCAAGATCAGATGGCCGGCCAGAAAAGATCAGTAACAGAGAGGGATATCTGGCAATGAGCGAACCAACTCAGCAGGAACCGATTGTGAAACAATTAGGCAAGAAGAAGTGGAGATGGATTGGCTGGCCATACTCTGAGGAAACAATGCATCAAGTGACATCACTACACAATCAATCGCTCGAGTGGAACCCGAAAGGGAAGCGGCGAGTTGGTCGTGAGTGCGAGTGTGGGTGACTTGGAGGAGGTGATGTGAAGAGGAGATGAAAGCGTGTGGGTAGACTTGGAGCCAGGTGAAAATTCTAGGAGAGAACCGAAGGCAATGGAGAAGCACGGCTGAAGCTGTATATTCCTCTAGGAATTAAAGGAAACAATAATAATAATAAATATGTTATGACTTGATAAACACGGATATTTCTTTAATAAAATTCGGTTACGATGGAAAACAAGCAAGATTAGGCTATTTACGGTTTATGGAAATCTAACCGGAATATATTGTTTTCTATCATGGAGTTGTTAGTTATGGGATCCGATTTGTTAGCATAAGTAAATGTGCCAAGAAGACATTCGAATATAGCACTGAAACTGATGTAGATCATGAACAGATTAGCGCGTAAGAATACGTTTTTGTCCCATGAGGTTGGTATATGGTAGAATACGTATTTTGCGTAAAAGAGACAGTTTAGACGAATCCAATTAACTGCGTGACAAAGACTACTGCAAATTGTTTCCCTTATATTTGGCTTTACGAGTCCAAAAGCGTCGAAAATGATAAACGAGGTAATGTTAGGACTAGGTTATGCGTTTATCACGAGATAACATAGTTATAAAGGCTTCCAACCTAGCGTATGTATTCGAACCTTTTAAATGCTTATGGAAGAGAGCATATAATTAAACCGAAAATCTGGATACATTACGTTGATGATACATTTTTAATAATTAAGAGAAATGATTTAGAATATACTCATAAATTAATAAACAACATATATGAAGACATCAAATTCACAAGAGAAGAAGAATTAGATAACAAAATCCCATTTTTAGATGTCTTAATCAGGAGAACCAACACAGGAGATTTAGAAACACAAGTATATAAAAAATCAACGCACACAGATCAAATACTCAACTATACTAGCAATAATCCAGTTACTCACAAACGAAACTGTGTGCAGACATTGTTTAAAAGAGTTCAAACACATTGTAGCACTCCAGAGTTAAAAAGAATGGAAGAAAAGTACCTACAAACGGTCTTCAAAAAGAATGGTTATCCACAAAATTTCATCAAAAAGTGTTTAAAATCGAATAATAACACCAACAAAGAACAATCATCAAAGACCACAAGAAAATTCATTCTACCATACATGAAAAATATCTCTGAAATAACAGCTAGAATTCTGAAACCGTTTGATATAGATATAGCACACAAGCCAGTCAAATCGCTTAATTCGATATTATGCAAACCGAAAGATCCAACAGAAAAAGGGGATAAAATTCATACCATTTACAAAATAAATTGTATGAACTGTAACAAGCATTACATCGGCTAAAGTGGGCGTCCCCTTCGAATTAGAATCCAAGAACACAAATCAGCCATGAAAAGACACGGTATGTATTCTTTAGTATCAATGCATACAGACAATTATGGCCATCAATTTTATTGGGATAATGTCAAAATCTTAGACAGAGGAAACCTAACAGATGAAACCAAAAGTGCCAGGGAATTCCTAGAAGCCTGGTACTCAAACGAAAATGAAATTAACAAACGCGTTAATATAGACGAAATATACCAACCAACAATCAAAGCTGAACAAATTTGCTAATTAATGCTTAGAAATCGAAATAAATAAGCGTCACTGTGCAAAACAACTGTGCTTGGAGTGATTAATTTCGGTTTCCAAAGGAATCTGTGGTGAAATTCCACCTCCTCGAACTGTGTACACTTCGAATGGCAAATATGAATTACAGTGATACCAGTTTGTCCAAGTGACTATACAGAAATCGGATGATTTGAACCGATTCGGCTCTGAGCTCAATCAAACTACGTACACAGCTGATGAGCCCGCCACTAAGCAAGCGAACGAAACGGCCATCCGGTGTTTGGATCACTCCGATGATCTGTCTAGCGAGCACTACTGGTTGATACGCATTGTATACAACTACTTACGTCAATCAGTCAGTAGTCTATAGCTTGAATGTTTCTCGGGCTAATACTGCCCTACTGAGCAACACTGAAACTGAGAAATGCCTGTATCATGAGTTAAGGATATTTTTAAGTATTTTCAATTGATTTCCACTAGCATATTTGTTGTGTTTAGCCCATAACCGCTAAAGATACTGAATTGTAGGATGAACTGTTATCATGTACTCTTAACTAGAAGTGGAACACGAATGTATCGGCAATATTTCAGGGATACATTTTATTTTAAAATAGAACGTATTAGGTAAGTTGTCAAGAAAAAAAACACGTTTATTTACATTTAAGCAACTTACCACTTTGTCGCCTTAGTAGTGAATTCCTTGGTGGACCTGAAGTGTAAAAAAGAATTTATTCAATAATAATAATGATAATACCCAAGTTATTCTTTTTAAGCAAACATTTTAATTAAATTCTTTAAAGCATTAAATAAAAAAGCACAATATTAGTTGTGTAATGAAGAGTAGTTGTGTGGGTGGCTTAGTGATAGAATGCTCGCCAACTACACACACGCACATGGTTTTGACTTGATTGTGAGCCAGCGCATTCGGGAACTGCCTAGCCAGTAGCAAGCCTGGTGAAATGGGAAGGTTTAGAGTAAGGCTAGCAACCCAGTACCGTAAAATAAAGCATAATCGCTACTGGAACTTGAAATCTCAAACTTGGAGCACCATATTACACTCGCGACTCAAGTGAACGTAAAGAAAACTGGACACCTATAAGTGTTGTACATGCTAGTTGTAAATTCTAAGCTGATTCCATAGACCTTGTTTGAACAGAGAGCACCCACCTAGGATACTTAGCATTATGCCACAGTTTATTCGATATAAAACTGTTTCGAGATGATTTATACAAAGCCTTATATCTAGATATTTGTAAAAAATTATATTTGTAAAATCTCAGCGAGATTGAAATGAGTAATTCCAACGTTTCGTTCGGCAATCTGGTCCGAACTTCTTCAGGGAAATTAATCGAAATTAACATAACATAGGTTTATATATAAAAGGAACATCAATTGTTTTTTAAAAATTTGTCCAATCATGAGTCATTCAACAAGGATAATAAACAAAATTTTATGATCTGTGATCAAAATTTGACCTCGGACTTACAATTATTGGTCTACCTTTGTTAAACACTTTAAACAGGGTGTGTATGTGTGTGTGTGTAAACAGTTGTAAAACATTTCTTAACGTTTCCATAAGAAGATATGGACAGTCGAGAATTTTGACCAAGTATTAATAATCAGTGATACATATCCATTTTTATTTATTAATAAGGATTTCCTAGGCATCAGCTAACATCACGCCTTCATGTCTGTTCAAACTTAGTATCTAGAATTTTATGATTAGACGTATTTTCAAAATTATGGTTAGGATTAGAGTTTAGTAGAAGCACCCTGTCTTCTTTCTGAAGATTGAGCTGCTTTATTCAACCTACTGGAGTTGTCAGGTGACTGGACAGCTACGGATTTAGGATATGCATTCTGTTGCAGATAGCGGAGAGTGAAAACACGATGATTGTGCCAATTACACAGTTTCTTTGTTAATTTAATTCGATTGCAAAATAATTCAAATGAACTGTCGTCAAGATTTGACCGAATAGTTCTAAAATATTTGGTCGCCGAGTGAGAAGTAGACATTTGTAAGAAATTGTATTTGTAAAGTCTCAGCGAGATTGAAATGAGTAATTCCAACGTTTCGTTCGGCAATCTGGTCCGAACTTCTTCAGGGAAATTAATCGAAATTAATATAACATAGGTTTATGTATCTAGGGCTTGAAGTTTGTAGGATTCATCACTCACGCTTATTAATGGTGTGATGAAAATTAACTCCACTACGCAGTCCATGATCTTCTCATAAAGATTTATAAACCGTTTGTGCTATATACTCACTAAGATAAGTGACACAGCAATTCAGAATTGTGTTGGATGTCAGGTGGTGTCGCTTCACAAGAAACACTAGATCAAAGTTTCTTTCTTGCTAGCATTATTCACTAAGGCTGACTCACTACAAGAACAAGAGACATTCTCAGTAAGCTCCAGTGTTTTTACTCACCTTCATTCACATAACATCTGTCAGTGTCAGTGTCGTATGACTTCCTCAAGGGCTTAGTTAGAACTTGCAAAGCAAGAGAATCATATCACAAGCATTTGACTATCAAAACTTATTAAATATTTACAAAACTTTTTTGGATGATTAATTATTCACTCTTAAACATCATATCATGAATGTCAGGTTTACAGTATCATCTCATACAGTGTTCCGCATATTTTATGCGCTTTAGAAACGGGAGAAACAATCGGTTTTCATAAATTGACATATTTTTTATTATGATTTATTTACAGATATAATTTGTAGGCAAATACTCTGACATACATCTCATTAGAGTTAATCCATTCTGACTTGAATTCATCCACACAGACAAAAGTTGTTGTTCAGAGATGAGACCATTTGAGTATGAAAAACGTTGTTTAAAACCAAATACTCAAGTTACCATTTGGTTCACCTCTTTTTACTTGTCTACGGGAAACAGAATATTTGACATTTGCTGTCATATCACAAAGTATGTTCCCATATATCATTTAAAATATTGTACTAGAGATTTGTGAGTATAAAAGGGAGGGAGACGCCTCCTCACAGTAATGGTCTCTAGGTAATATGGAACGGTACTTACAACTCCTTCCATATAAATATTCCAAGCTATACCTATTTCAGTAAATTTACAAGTGAATGTAAAATAAAATACTAAGTCACATCATCCTGGAGAGAATAAAGGATGCACTGGATACAGAACTCCGCCACCAACTTGGACAAGCTGGATTCAGGAAAGGCAAATCATGTGCTGATTAAATTGCAACTCTACGCATCGCCAGAGCATAGAATGGCAGTTAAACCTGTACCTAAACATCATCGACTTCGAGAAGGCCTTCGACAGACAGCGTTGACCGAGAAGCAATTTAGGAACTACTTCAACACTACGGCGTATCTCAAGTCTTTGTCACGTGTCATGTAATTCACAATGGAAAGCTCAGCGAGGCGCTCCAAGTGCATACAGGACTAAAACAAGGCTGCCTATTATCACCGATGATATTCTTAATTGTGGTGGACTGGATTATGCGTAAGACTGTGTTTGGGAGCGAGGAGACAGGAATACGCTGGACGACTGATAAGAAGAATCTAGAAATCTTCCTGACTCCGCATAAGGAATAAGATTTGGATTTTCAACACCAGTGTGAAGTCGTTTCTTCTATACAGGTCAGAAACTTGGCGTGTCATGAAAAGGATTTCCAACAGTTTGCAGACTTTCACCAACAGCTGCCCGCTTCGCTGGCTCCATACTGAAGATCAAATGGCGAGAAATAATAGGCAACAAGAAACTAGGGGAACAAGCCAACCAAGAGCCGATTGCTCAACCAATATATAGGAGAAAGTGGAGATAGAGCAGGCATACATTGAGGAGGCCGCCGAGTGACATCGCACGCCAGGCCCTCGAGTGGAATCCAAACGGGAAGCGGCGAGTGGGTCGTCAGTGTGAGGGTGACATGGAGGATCCAGCTGAAGAGGACGGCAGAAAACAGAACAAAGTGGAGATGTGTTGTTGAAGCCCTATGTTCCACTGGGAACGCAAGGGAATAACAATATAATATTAATAAGTACTGGAGAAAACTAAATTTATTGATCGCTATGAGGAAACTGTTAGGATTATTTCAGTTGAATTGAGTATTTAGTATATACGTTATCCAGAATTTAACATAAGGATGTTTATTGACGCTACAGGTAATAAAACAGAGTTTCATCTTTCTACCTGTCTGACTGACCTTCAATCCTGACTTTTCTGTTCTTCTCCTACAGGTTATTAGTCAGTTTTATTGCAAGTAGGGAGTGTTTTGTTAGATATGTACTAAATTTAAGCAGACTTGGTCATCATAATCCTTTCTGTCTGAGTAGTAGCTAACTTAACAGCTTGATTTAAGCCATACCACAGAAATTTCTGGAAGATCATGGTTAGGTAAACTAAACCTCAATATGTGGCTGGCACCGACAATCACTGATTTCATGAAAACGATACTTTATTTTGATCTGACTTTCCACAATTCTTTTTAAAGAAGTCAATCTTATTTAAGCTTATACCATTTGTCAAAGATGGAGGTTGCTCAGTGTATGTAACATGTGATTGAAGAGAAAAATGATGAAGCTGATATAAGAATGTAACAGATAAAAGTAATTTGTATGCTCATTGAAGAATGTTGATGAATACTATTCGCAAGTTGTTTGCATTATGGAAGTTGATGCATTCTAAGATCTTCCTAAATGGAGAGGGACAAGATTATTATTATTATTGTTCCCCCGGGTTCCTAGTGGAACATAGGGCTTCAACTACACGTCTCCACTTGCTTCTGTCTTCTGCTGTACTTTTCACTTGCATCCATGTTAGTCCATGCTGTTTCAACTCTTCTTCACACGATCTCCTCCATGTCACCCTTGGAAGTACCACTCGCCGCTTCCCCTTCGGGTTCCAATCGAGCTATGGCCTGACGCGCGATGTCACCCAGCGAGTGGCCTACTCAGCCAGTGAGTGTCCAATCCATCTCCACTTTCTCCTGCATATTTGTTGAGCGATTGGTCCTTGTTTCGTTTGTCCCCATAGTTTCTTGTTGGTGATTCTTTCTGGCCATCTAATCTTCAGTATGGAGCGAAGACAGTTGTTGATAAAGGTCTGCAACCTGTTGAAAATATTCTTGGTGACCCGCCAAGTTTCTGATCCGTAAAGCAAAATTGACTTGACGTTTGTATTGAAAATCCGAATTTTGTTGTTGATGGTGAGTTGAGTGACGAAGATTTCCAGATTGGTTTCAGGTTGATGAATGTGTTTCTCGCCTTCCCGATTCTCGATTTGACATCCTCGTCCATTCCACCTGCCTGTAGTTGAGACAATGCTCCTTGGATAAGTGAATGAAGTAACCTCTTTCATATCCCTCCCGTTGATGGTGATTGGCGCTGGATGTTGCTGCTGCTGTTGATGTTGTTGGTTTGTTGGTTATTTTCATAACCTCCGTCTTGTCTATGTTCACCTGGAGTCAGTCCTTTCTTTGCTGCTTCTTCGACCAGTTTGTCGGTTTTCGCTTGTGAGTCTTCGATCTTGTGTGACATCAAACATAAATCATCCACACGCGAAATCCCGGTCTTCCAGGTTCTTCACGTCGGTCCAGGATATCCCTGTCTTCTTGTTTCCCACTGTCTGACGCTTAATCCAGTCCACCACAATTAGGAATATCATTGGTGATAATAAGCACCCTTGTCTGACTCCTGTGTTTACTCCAAACGCCTCGCTG